TATATATATATATTAAAATAGAAAACAGTTTGCTGAAATTGTAATAATATTCCCCAATATTACAGTTTTACTGTATTTTTGATCAAATAAATGCAGCCTTGGCGAGCATAAGAGACTTCTTTCATAAACTTTTAAAAAAATCTTCATGAGCCCAAACTTTTGAAAGGTACTGTTAAAGTTAAGTGAATTGTGTAATTTCTGTAATTTCAGGAGTATGGAAAGACCAAATGTAAGCTATTTTTGGATTTGCCCAAAAAGTCTTTGCGATTTGCTCAAAGTACTGCAACCAAAGAGACTGAGTGTGTTTGGGGAAACAGTTAAAAATAGCCATTGTTTTTGCTATTCCGTTTAGTGGCGTTAATGGCATTGAAATTATGCACTTCACTTTTAATGGCACAGATGTTTGAAGGTAACTCTATTGCCCCCTTGAGTATGCAAGCTGGCACAGTGAAGGAAAAATGCACATTTAATAAGTACAACAGGACTATCAAGTACTGGCCAAGCATTTGCGTAGAGTATGGTTCTGGCCAGTGACTCACCTGTATATATATATATTAAAATAGAAAACAGTTTGCTGAAATTGTAATAATATTCCCCAATATTACAGTTTTACTGTATTTTTGATCAAATAAATGCAGCCTTGGCGAGCATAAGAGACTTCTTTCAAAAACTTTTAAAAAAATCTTCATGAGCCCAAACTTTTGAAAGGTACTGTTAAAGTTAAGTGAATTGTGTAATTTCAGGAGTATGGAAAGATCAAATGTAAGCTATTTTTGGATTTGCCCAAAAAGTCTTTGCGATTTGCTCAAAGTACTGCAACCAAAGAGACTGAGTGTGTTTGGGGAAACAGTTAAAAATAGCCATTGTTTTTGCTATTCCGTTTAGTGGCGTTAATGGCATTGAAATTATGCACTTCACTTTTAATGGCACAGATGTTTGAAGGTAACTCTATTGCCCCCTTGAGTATGCAAGCTGGCACAGTGAAGGAAAAATGCACATTTAATAAGTACAACAGGACTATCAAGTACTGGCCAAGCATTTGCGTAGAGTATGGTTCTGGCCAGTGACTCACTAAAACCCAAAGGAATAAAATGACAGAACAGCTCTTTAATCTCTGTACGTTCCAGTCCAAAAACCCAGGAGAAGCAGAGCCTAGTTAGGAGAGAGCGAGGGTGTGAGAGAAATGTGATAGGCAATAAAGAAGGAAAGTGAGAAAGTGTGCCTCTGGTACAAATATTTAAGAAGATTTGCTGATCACAGAGAGCAAAGGGTCTGTGTAGAGGGAGGCCCTTGCATCATCTGAACAGAAAGCATATCAGAGAAAATGAGAGATACTGAAAGAGAGAATCTGATGTCTTACAATTCGAAAGCAGCTGTGGACACTGGGCTCCACGTTGCTCCCTCCAAATGCCGCCACCTCCCCGAGCTGTCGAGGGATCTGAATAGCCTCGTGCAGTAACAGACTGAGATGTTTCTGATCTGTCAGTCCACCTGGACCACACACCTGTCTGAAAAGGTCTGCAATACATAAACAGAAGACCTGGTTGAATGCTGCACTAAAAGGAGACACTAGGGAAAGGGAGCATTGTGCCAGTGTGCAGAAACCTGGAGGTGGGCAAACTGAGAATGTGAGACTTAAATGGCTTTAGGTTACAGGGGTGTGAGGCGAGATGGCTCACACTTTCATGTGTGATATATGTTGGCACTGTAAAAAAAATGCATTTCTTATTCAGTGTTTTTAAAAAAGTTCAAACATAAAGAAACTTTCATTACAGAATATATGAATTAAAACTATTAATTTTTGTAATTGAAATAAAGATTAAGAAAATAAAATATAAATAAAAAATAAACAATTAAAAAAACACAACTTAAAGATATATTCTCACCAAAAAATGTTGTGATATATATGGTGCAGTTTGCTTCAAGTAAATCCATCTTGTCTTAAAGATGTTTAGATATCAAAATATGCATGTGTGTGCTTGATGCAAGCACTGGTGTAAATGTGGACAAAAGGCTAACATTAGCCGAGAGAGCCGAACAGCTCAAACAGTCTGTGTCATGAATCTAGCCATCACTGAGCAGAATGATCCTGACAGAAGTGAGAATGTTCTCTGCAGTGCCAGTAAAAATAGCACCATCTAAAGTCGCTGGCACACACATTCACTCTTACATGTAAACCAGCCTCATACATAGTCTAGTCCAAGGACAGATTATGGGCAGGTCAATCAGGGACAGAGCCCCAGATCCTCTGACTGCCAGGGCATCATGCTAAGAGGCCCGACACCCAAAAACAAGTCGCTGTAGCTGTAAAATTGATATAGACAGATGAACAGCACTTTGTGCCAGTGGCTGTTGGCATGATATGAAATAAACAAAGAAATGAGGGATGTTATTTGTTTCTGGCCCCTCCTCAGCACTCACAGAAACCTTTATTGCAGCTTTGATGTTGTATAATAGTCAATGTACACTGATGTCTCTTTTGGAAAGTATTGCACATGAGGTGGGATTAGTTTTGCAACTGCAACAATATAAAATTTTTATTTAATTATTTTTATTAAATAATTATTCAACTTCATTATTCAACTATCTTCTTGTATTTGTGACTTTATATATCCAAATTGGGACTTTATTATAAAGTCTATTATTTGATGGGAAAAGCTATTTAAGCTAGTAGCTGGTTTCTAGTTTGGTCTAAGCTTCTCATTGGCTGGTATAAGCTCGTACACCACCAAAAAAACAGCTACTTATGGTGATCCAGCTGGACTTGGAACATGGTGGCTGGTCAACCAATTAATGACCCGTTTGAACCAGCTTAGACCTGATACAAACAAGCCAACATGCTCCTAAACACAGATATCATCCTAAACAGAATTTTCCAACAAGGACAAATTGCAATTTCCACAAAGAGGCTGATGCCCCGGGGCCCTGCAGGACCTTAATCTGTACATGACCTACATTAAACACTTCACTTACAGATAGCTACAGACCTGTCTCTCTCCTTCCATTCATAGCGAAAACCCTCGAACGAGTTGTTTTCAACCAGGTATCATTGTTTCTTTCACAGAACAACAAACTGGACGCTAACCAGTCAGGATTCAGGAGTGGCCATTCAACTGAGACTGCACTACTGTCAGTCACGGAAGCCTTGCGGATGGCACAAGCTGACTCCAAATCATCAGTTCTTATTCTGCTGGATCTATCTGCAGCTTTTGACACTGTCAATCACCAGATCCTCCTGTCCACCCTCCCATCATTGGGCATCACAGGGATTCCACTTCGCTGGTTTGAATCTTATCTCACTGGTAGGTCTTTCAGGGTGGCCTGGGGAGGGGAGGTATCCAAAGCACATCAACTGGTCACTGGGGTTCCTCAGGGATCAGT